GTGTGTGTGTGAATCATATATATATCAATGGCTGGATAGCTCTTTGTCAGGGAGATTTTGATTATGTTTTCTTGCCCTGGTGGAGGGAGTTAGACTGGATGGCCTTAAGGCAGCATTTCTCAACTGGGGGGTTGGGACCCCTTGGGGGGTTGTGAGGGGATGTAAGAAGGGTCACCAAAGACCACCAGAAAGCACAGTATTTTTTGTTGGTCATGGGGGTTATGTGTGGAAAGTTTGGCCCAATTCTATCGTTGGTAGGGTTCAGAATGCTCTTTGATCTATAAATCCCAGTAACTACAACTCCCAAATGACAAAATCAATTTTTTATTGATGGTCACTCATTGGGTTGTTAGGTGTATTGTGACCAAATTTGGTGTCAATTCGTCCAGTGGTTTTTGAGTTATGTTGATCCCACAAACGAACATTATATTTTTATTTATATAGATAACAAATGGTTTTAAATGCTTGGCAACACATTTAACTTATTAAAGGGGAACTTTTAATTTGTTCTGTTAGGAAGAAGCAGAACAAATTCTTATAATAGAAGAGAGTTCGGTTTCTGTGTCAGTGGGGCAGTGAGTTCTCTCTGAGGTTTAGTTTGAACTTTAAAGAAGCTCTTCAAGGTACTGAAAACACACGCACAATAAGTTCAAGTATCTTGGGTAGTTCTTGTAATGATAACCGATTTACAATGTAATATACATTCCCTTCTGCATTAACCATTTTCTTCCTTAACAGCAAAACAGTGACGTGATAATGTCTGTATGCAAAGGGATCTTGTAGCACATTAGAGACTGAGGAAATGCAGCTGGTAGCATGAGCTTTCATAGACTAAATCTATTTTCTCGTGCATTTACAGACTACACAGCTATGACTATGAATACTAATATTGGTAGATGAGAACTCATACTTCATATATCAGGAACATCAAACTATTATCAGAATTGCTATGGTAGATTAAAACTCTTTTCTTTCTACCTCAACATTTTACCTGCTGACCATAAGCACCCAGATTCTACAGAACAGTTTTCTTACAATGACCCATAACCATATCTTTGCCCTCATGTTTCTTGCCAGTGCCAGGTAACTGCAAGAATATTGTGAGAAAAGTGCCACATTAATGATAAGCAAGCAAGTAATCTGGGAGCCCCCAGTGGCACAATGGGTTAAACTGCTAAGCTGTTGAACTTGTTTTCCAAAAGGTCACAGGTTTGAATTCGGAGAGCGGCATGAGCTCCCGCTGTTAGCCCCACCTTCTGCCAATGTAGCAGTTCGAAAACATGCAAATGTGAGCAGAGGCAGCCCTAGGTAATTTTCAACGATAAGCAAACAGTATTTTGCCCCCCCCCCCCCACCAATCACTGATATATATTTTCTGTTCGTCGTGGGAGTTCTGTGTGCCATATTTGGTTCAATTCCATCATTGGTGGAGTTCAGAATGCTCTTTGATTGTAGGTGAACTATATATCCCAGTAACTACAACTCGCATATGTCAAGGTCTATTTTCCCGCAAGAGTGCCTCAAGAGCACCCCTGGGCAAAATCAACTATACTGCAAATGCTTACTTTGCGTAATGCGTTGAGCCACCCCTGAATGTGAATAGATCAATAGGTACCACTCCACAGGAAGGTAACAGCGCTCCATGCAGTCATGCCGGCCACATGACCTTGGAGGTGTCTACGGACAATGCAGGCTCTTCAGCTTAGAAATTGAGATGAGCACCAACCCCCAGAGTTGTATACAACTGGACTTAATGTCAGGGAAAAACCTTTACTTTTATCTAAGCAAGTAATCTATAATTTTAAATGGATTTGTTTACAATATCTTTTTTTTTTTTTTTGCATTATTTCATAGTTAACTGTTTAACATAGTTACCCCAAATTACTCATGAGAATGAGAAATAGTGGTAATAAAAATAACAAGAATATGAGAAAGGCAGTAAGTAGAGTTAGCAGGAAAGCATAGCAGGTATGAAGTAATGATGAAACGTGGTCAGGGATTGGGGCAAACAGCTTCTCCCTACAGAGGCAAAACTTCATAAAGTACTGCACAACTAACATTGAGGATGGGAAGTGATATGAAAGAACAAGAGATCTGTGTAATAAACATTGAGTTCTTATGTTCATGGTGGATATTTGAGCCTTAGCAGGCACAAGAAGCAGCATTTCGGTGTTCAATTTCTAGAACTTTTCGTTCAGTATAGAACACATAAATTTTTATCACTAAGGGTGTATCTAATAATGCAGTTTGACACCACTTTCATTGCAATGGCTCAATGCTATGGAATCATGGGAGTTGTATTTTTACAAGCATTTAGCCTTCTCAGCCAGAGGGCTGGTTCCTCACAAATCCCAAGATTCCTTAGCATTGAACCGTAACCGTTAAAGCGGTGTTAAACTGCAATTATTTATTTTATTTATCGTGTCAGATACACATTGAGTATACAGTTATAATGTATGAAAAACCACAAACAAAATTTAAAAACTTGGCATTATACCAAATTTGCTTTCAGCAGAAGCTGGCCATTTGGAGTGCCTCTGGTGTCACTGTAAGAAGGGCCTTCATTGCGCATGTGTCAGGGCTCAGCCTGCATTGTAGTTTGTGGTCTGTGGTTTGCTCTTATCATCACTTGCATGTCAGGGACTCAACTTCGTAGCCACATTTTTTTAAGATTGGCTCTGCATCTTGTGGTGCCAGAGCGCAGTCTGTTCGGCACCTTCCAAGTCTTCTGTGTGCCCAGGATTCAGTTTCTCATCCGGTATCAGCCACTGATCAAAGTTCAAGGTTTGAGCCTGCCACTTTTGGACTCTCGCTTGCTGAGGTGTTCCTGCGAGTATCCCTGTAGATCTTCGGAAGCTATTTCTTGATTTAAGGCATTGGCTTGCTGGCTGATATTCAAACAGAGAATGGGTCAGATATGTCAATGCCTTGGTCCTTTCCTTACAGGCTGCTACTTCCCAACAGATGTCACATAGTGCAGTACCAGCTGAACAGTATAATTTCTCCAGTGGTGTAGGACATAGACATCCTGTGATAATGCAGCATGTCTCATTAAGACCTACATCCACTGTTTTAACATGGTGATATGTATTTCACACTGAGCATGAGCATTAAGCAGCAGAGTAGCAGAGCACAAGTGTAGGTGTCTTCACTGTATCTGGTTGTGAACCCCAGGTTGTACCAGTCAGTTTTAATATATTATTTCTAGCACCAACGTTTAGCTTGATAGTCAAGCAGTGCTTCTTATAAGTCAGAGCACAGTCCAGAGTAACTCCCAGGTATTTTGGTGTGCTACAATGGTCCAGTGGGATTCCTTCCCAGGTAACTCTCAGAGGTCAAGAAGCTTGTCTGTTCTTAAGATGAAAAGCACATGTCTGCATTTTAAATGGATTAGGGTTGAGCTGGTTTTTCCTGTAATGAGCAGTAAGAACACTTAAAGCTTCAGAGAGGTTCTGTTCACCCATTTCAATGCTCCCTCCTTGAGCGGTGATGGCTTGATCACCAGCATAGATGAAACTCTCTGTCCCTTCTGGCAGTGGGTGATTATTTGTGTAAATGTTAAACATTAATGGAGCAAGCACGCTCCCCTGTGGGAGGCCATTTGTCTTTTTTCACCATCTGCATCTCTGACCCTGGAAGTCAACAAAAAAGCTCCTGTTTTATAGCAGATTTCCTAAGAAGCGAGTGAGGTGATCCTTTATAATATTATATTTTTTCCTCAGGAGAAGGCGATGATTTACAGTATTATAAACTGCTGATAGGTCTATGAAGACAGCTCCTGTAATCTGCTGCCTTTCAAAAGCGTGTTCTATGTGCTGAGTCAGATTCAACACTTGCAATGTGCAGCTTTTCCCTTTCCTGAAACCAGCGTGCTGTGGAATCATACATGGGTCTATTTTTTCCGTAATTCTATGCAAAATAAGTCTCTCCAGAACTTTATAAAGACGGCACAACAAAGAGAGTGGTCTATAGCTTTTTGGATCATTATGGTCTTTGCCTGGTTTCAAGATGGCCATGACTCTTGCTTTCCTCCAAATTTTGGGGATCTTACAGGATGCAATGCAGTTGTTCATCAACTTGAACAGCCAGCACCTTGCTTTTGGGCCAAAGTTCTTAATTTTTTCCATCCGTAGATCATCCAGACCAGCTGCTTTGCTATTTTTACATTTATTGAGAGCCATTTCAAATACAGTAGATGTAAAAGGTTCATAAATGTTGTTGTTCTCACTATTTATTTATTTATTTATTTATTTATTTACCGTATTTTTATCCCGCCTTTCTTAGCCTGAAGGTGACCCAATGCGGCTTACAATTTGGCAGCCATTTGATGCCACAACAGTCATAAAATACCATTAAAACATTTAACATGACATAATAAAATCCATATAAAAACATTAAAAACATATAATCACCAATGTCTTCTAGTTAAACTCATTTTCCATTATCTGGTTGTCTGATTATTGCAGTACACAACCAAACATTAAACTGCTGAAGATGAGCTTTAAACCAAAATTTCTACAATTACAATTCTGGCTTTCTTCTGTCAGAAGGCTACAACAAGGGAGTGGATGGTTTTGATTTTCCCAACTGAAAAGCATTTTCATATTGTCTATTTCCCATGTGTCAAGTGACCACTCGAACTACCAACATTGAGTAAGCCTATGCATGCAAGAGTATAAATTCACCTTATATATCTGGGTCTTTATTCTTAGAATTTTTCATCTCCTTTCAATCCCAGACTCGGAGTTCAAGTATTAGCATCTGTAGAATGCATGAATTATCTACATAAAAAATGTTAATGAAGAGCATCAAATACCAAATTTCTTGTTGTCTTGATGTAATAGGTGCTAGTAGGTGAAGGTGTGATAGAATTTGTTGGCCAGAACTGCCCATTTCTGTAGCTAAACCAACAGACAAAGGGTCATGGAGGAGATATCTGTTGTTATGGCCATGATATCATACACTGTTACTAACATGTGGTTGGTTATTTTATATTTCAGATCACTGCTTCTAGTTGAGCACAAAGAAACCGCAGAGACTTCAACATCCTTCCTTGAGAAGAAAACCCAGCAGAGCAAGATTAATATAGGCTTGTTTCTGGTGGCCTTTTGGTGCAAAAGCTGCCTTCAAGGGAGGCAGAAAAGAAAGAAACACTGTGGTATTTAATGAGCTGTGAAATGAAGCGCTGTTGCTGCTGCTGTGGTTGCTATTGCAACTCTTCTTCCTCTTAACACTCAGATTTTGAAATTCACCTGCTATTCATTGTGCTTAATATACATGTTTCTGCAGTGTGCATTTAGAAGATCCCAGGAACGAATTCACAACGGCTGCCGGGGAAAGGCCACCAAACATGCCTACAGAAACACTACAGACAGGTAGCATGGTCAAACCCGTCAGTCCTGCCATCACATTCACCTCAGCCGTTCCTCTCCGTATCTTAAACAAAGGACCTGATTATTTTCGTAGGCAGGCTGAGCCTAATCCCAAAAGACTTAGTGCCGTGGAGAGGCTGGAAGCGGACAAGGCAAAGTACGTAAAGAGCCAAGAGGTCATCAATGCCAAACAAGAACCAGTGAAGCCGGCAGTGCTTCCCAAACCACCAGTGTGCCCTGCAAGTAAGCGCTCTTTGGGCAGTCCTACCTTGAAAGTTTTCAGTAACAATGTAAAGACTGAGAGTGGTGTCCAGAGGGAGAATCTAAAGCTAGAGATTTTGAAAAACATCATCAACAGCTCAGAAGGGTCCAGCTCAGGTTCGGGTCACAAACATAGTTCACGCAACTGGCCTCCCTACAAGTCTGATTCAGGAGACCTTAACCGGCACTCGTTTGCAGAATCCTTAAAGGTTTACCCAACTCAAGGCCGTCGCAGCCCCCAAGACAGCAACTCCAGTGTGGGTAGGCGGCTATTGGAACAGTCAACAGAAGCATTCTTGCATGTTTCTCATAGTTCCTCGGACATTAGAAAAGTATCTAGTGGCAAACCCTTAAAAGCAATACCCTGCAGTAGTTCAGCTCCACCTCTGCCTCCCAAACCCAAAATTGCTGCCCTCACAACATTAAAATCCCCAGAGATAGATGCAGTGGAAACCAGTTGTGGAGTCAGCCGGCGTCCTTCCTTACAGCGTTCAAAGTCAGACTTGAGTGACAGATACTTTCGAGTCGATGCAGATGTTGAAAGATTCTTTAACTACTGTGGACTCGATCCTGAAGAGCTTGAAAATCTTGGGATGGAAAATTTTGCAAGGGCTAACTCTGACATTATCTCTCTCAACTTTCGCAGTGCAAGTATGATCAGTTCGGACTGTGAACAGTCTCAGGACAGTAACAGTGACCTTAGAAATGATGACAGTGCCAATGACCGCGTGCCATATGGCATTTCTGCAATTGAAAGAAATGCCAGAATCATCAAGTGGTTATACAGCATCAAGCAAGCTAGGGAGTCACAGAAAGTATCCCATGTGTGAAAAATATGCAGGAGGGAAGGGGGAGGCAAGGAAGGACTGTATCTTTGTGAATATTCAGTTGTGAAGGATTGTGAAGTCTACTTGAAGTCTTAATACACTTCTCAGATCTCTTTTTGTGTTGCTTGTTGTGCAATGTTTTCAAGTTGCATGCCTGTCAACATGTGAACTGACCTGGCTTCCACTTGAACAATAACTCGCTACAGAGCCTGGCTGAGCATACACACACATTGTCTGCCAAAAGTTTAAGACCAGAATCTAAATAGGGCTTTGTTTTTGAATAAGTTGTTTACATTAAATGGTTATATGGCTTCTTTTTAATAGTCTTGTAATCCCCTGTGGGTGTTTTTTAAAAATATCTTACCATTTTTGGTGTCTTGAGCACAGATATAGTAAAGACACAGGTATCTTTTGAACTTAAATAAAGATGTATTAAGAGAAGAAATTGCCAAATACAGTCATCATAAATCCTTCCCTAGAACAGCATAGTAGTCCATGGAATAAGCACCCAACATGTAATGCATTTGGGTTTTTTTTATTCTTTTGAAGAAGTTGTTTATCTTCTAAAGAAATAGTCTGTCGTTTTCTGTTTTGACAATCTCACTGAAGCCCTCCACTACCCACTCTTTCACACAGCCTTTCTGCAAGCAGTTTAAAAAGATACTTCTGCGTTTATAAACTACTCTTGCAGGTGTTTGATACAAAAAAAAAGAAATGTAGTGTCTTGGTTTCACTTATCATAGGGTATTTTGGAAGGAGGCTGAGAAAATGGCACATGAAAATCATGGGTGACATTTTGAAGTGAGGTTCCTTGTCTTAAACTTTTGACATGAATAGTTAGATCCTATTTGCTGATCTTGAATGCCTTTAACTTAACAAAGCACATCATGATTATAAGCTCCTGCTGATGACTACATTTTTGTAGCCCTGTTTGAGCAGGTCATGAACAGAAAATGGAAGTACACAGCCATATCAGTATGAGCCTCTTACCCAGAAGCTGAACACACTCAATATAGCTGAACTATATCTGAGAAAATTGTGATTATGTTGTCTTAAATATGTTATATCTTTAAGGCTGTGGAGGTTTGTTACAGCTCTAGGAAACTGTAGAAACAAGACCATATGTAGCTTTTTTTGTTTGTTTGGTTTTGTCCTCTCTTCTTCCCTTGCCCTACAATGTTTAGTGCTGCACGTCAATCTGTTACACCTCTCTTTCTTTGACAATCTTGTGTCTTCCCAATGGTTTAACTGTCATGTCAAAGTGACGGTTGTGATGAGTAGCAGAGAAGTTGAAAGTGCAGTGGTCTGCTTCATTATTATGATTATGATTATTCTACATGCTTTGGAGTACTTTGCAGCACTATCTTATACTTCATCAGCTAATAGGAAACTTTTTATTGTGTAAATGCTGTAAGACTTTGTACATATTTCAGTTCTTACGAGATCTTTAAAAAAAAGTGTTATGCTAATAAATAGCTTTTGGTGCAACTGCTGCTTATGTACTTCTCTTTCTGTACTGTTAACATCCTGTCTCAAATTGGATACCAGGAGGAAATAAAATGCAACCATTGAAAGAGAAATTCACTCTAAATGCTCTATGAAAATATTCTTCTCACTCCATCCTGCCATTCTCCTAGAACTCAAACAGACATGATACTTAAACATGTGTAGGCATGTAACATGCAGAATTTGTTTTGTAAGTAATAATTGTGCATGTAGGTAGATCAGCTCCATGGAAATCTCAATGAAAATGCTATGTTCCAAAGGTGTTGTTCTTTCCAAGAGGAAATCTTTCAGTGTTTCCAGGGTAATGTTTTTTTTCATATTGTTAAAACAGCTTGGTATCTGGAGGTTTCATCAGGACCACATCTGGGAGGAAAGGGTTAAACTGCCTTTTCCTTTCAATCTGTTTCTAATCAAACTTTTCATAACTGCCATTTACAAAAAAAATATCAGGTACATTCAAATTCTCAGCTGCATTTACCATGATGTTGAGTTTGGCATCAATACGGACAACATTTCTTGGGCTAAGTTAGCCAACATTTGGACAAGTAGATGGCAGCAGTATGGATGGAGAACAAACGTTGGAAAAGTACAATCCTCGCAGCTCCTCATCAGTCTCCAAAACTGTCCCCACCATTTCAGTATTATTTTAGGGTTGCTGGGTTAGAGAAAATTGGCCTCTAGTCTTCACAAGCTCTAATTGCCCACACCTGTTCAGAAGCTTGGTGAAAAAACTTCTTTCCAAGATGAAGAGGTGCCATTGGTAAGTACCCTTTGGATCCAGCCAATTAGCCAGTTACAAATCTACCTTACACTAGATTGTCTATCCCACATTTCAATGGCTTTCTTGTGATAATTTCATGGGGGACCTTGTCAAAGGCCTGGCTAAAATTAAGATATGCTAAATATTAATAATAATAATAATAATAATAATAATATAGTAAATAACAAATAAATAATAAATAACAGCATTCCCTTCATAAGGTTGGTCTAGCATGACTTGTTTTTGAGAAACACATATTGACTTAGAGAGCATAGCATTCCTTTCTAAGTGCTCACAGATTGTCTCTTTAATGATCTGCTATAGAATCTTTCCTAGTATTGATGTCACTGGACAATAGATATTCTCCCCCCCCCCTCCTGTTTTTGAAGATGGGGATAACATTTGCCCTCCTCCAGTCTGCTGGAATTTCTCCTGTTCTCCAGGAGTTTTCAAAGGTTATTACCAGTGGTCCTGAGATTACTTCTTCCAATTCTTTTAATATCCATGGAAGTCATTCATCTGGCCCTGGAGACTCATGCATGCAAGATTTTTCAAATAAGGCAGATCTGAAATGGTGACAAAATATGTCCCCTGCCTCTAAAATTCTTATTGAAAGATAACAATGACAATTTTTTAGATGAACTGTAGGATGTATCTCTGCTAGTTAATATTTGGTCTAGATAATTTCATGGAAGGAAATATTAAAGCATGAAACACATCTGGTTAATATTTTATTTTATGAGATACAATATGGCAAGGGAAATAAATATGATAAACATAGACAAGATCATCTAGCAAACATGACTGAAGTCATGGCTCAAAATACATGTGAAGTAGATGAAAATATGATTACTATAACTGTATCTTTCCAAAGGATAAATTAGATGTACCCCAACCTTTGATGTAGGAGATGAAGGGAAACTGGTTCAAAGACAGGGCCTCATTTAGCTGCTCCTCTTACCAACCTACTTTGATGTTGTAAATGGCAGTGCCAAAAAACAAACCCTGAGATATTTTTGAACTAATTCAGGATGGAATCGGCAAAGGAGTATTTTTCCAAATGTGTGTCTCTATCCCTGTTGTTAGAAGAAAGAATACAATAAACTTTTCTTAATACATATTTCAGGACATGCTATTCAGTCCATGAGTCATCGCCTGGCATCATGCAAATTATGTCATTCCCTATAAGTTTAGAAAGAAGCTGAAGGTGACTTGTGCAACTGAGCTTTGGAATAAACTTTGTGGTAAATGGAATTTTTAAAATTATCCCAAGGGAAACCTGTTGGTTTGATTTCAAAATAAAGTTGAATCACTTGAATAAGTATTGTGAATGACTGCTGCAGGGACTGCAGGAATATCTAAACATAACAACCTGGATAAAATCTGTGGAACCTGGCATTGCTTGGTACTTATGCCTAATAAATATGCAGTTTTGGAAAATCCTAAAAGCAACTTTTAATGCCTTTAACACGTATGCATTGAAGACCCACTTCTTTCTCTTTCACTTAAGCACAAGGGAGACACTTTTGCTAAGATGATGATGGTTTCACAGAAGCATTGTCTACTGCACCTCAAATGATGTGACTGTATAGTCAATAAAGATTAACTATGGGATACTATAATAAGGGCCCCATGCATTTGATACTACAAGATTCTGGAACTAAGATGCAGACAAACCTCAGTTCAATCAAGCTATAGGATTCCGGAACTGGGACCCCATCTAAACTGTCAGATGAGGTAGTTTCATAATGCAGTTTAACTGCATTATTGAGTCTATATTGCCATATAATGCAGTTGATCTGCAATATGAAACAGCATTATATGGCAATGTAGATGGAGCCTAAGATAGAGTGATGCCTCAGTTAATAAGAAGCATTTTTGTAGGGTTTTTTCTGCTCTGTAGACCTTTGCTGGTGTTCTCAATATTCTTTTCTCTAGTTGGAAGTGTTTTTGATGGCATTGGCATTAAGACAACCCCACTGCTAAAGGTTATATGATGCCCCTTTGAAAGTCCTGTGTGAAGGAAGCATCTGTCATTGGAGCATGGAGAAAAGAAGGATGAGAAGGGACATGATATGGCCATGTTTAAATATTTGAAATAATGTCCCATATACAAGAAGGAGGCAAGCTTCTTTTCTGCTGTTCTAGAGACAAGGCATAGAGCAATGGATTCAAATTGCAGGAAAGAAAATTCCATATAAACATTGGAAATAACTTCCTGAAGGTATGAGTTTTTCAGCAGTGGAATATGCTACTCCAGAATGTGGTAAAGCCTCTTTTGGTAAAGGATGGATGACCATCTGTTGGGGGTGCTTTGAATGTGTTTTCCTGCATAGCAGAATAAAGTCGGACTGGATGGCCCTTGTGGTCTCCTTCTATGAAGGAGAGCTGCAGACTCAGTATCAGGTAAGGTAAAGGTAAAGGTTTCCCCTTGGCATGAAGTCTAGTCGAGTCCGACTGGGGGGTGGAGCTCATCGCTGGCTCTTTGACTAAGAAATTGAGTTGTATGTAAACACCTCCTAGGTCATGTGGCCAGCATGACTGCATGGAGCGCCATTACCTTCCAACTATAGCAGTATCTCTTGATCTCACATTTGCATGTTTTCTTACTGCTAGGTTGGCAGAAGCTAGGGTCAATGGGAGCTCAGCCCGTCCCGCGGATTTGAACCACTGACCTTCCGGTCAGCAAGTTCTGCAGCTTAACAGTTTAACCCACTGTGCCACCATGGCCCTCAGTGTCAGGAAGTGGCAGCCTATTTAACAATGTAATGAAAAGTAGGATTTTAATCTAGCAAAGCCTTTTGTAACTATGAGTACCTGCCTACTACAGGCAAGGTAAAGAGCAGCTGGCTCCAGAATCCCTTACTGTGCATAGATGTACCTCAAGAGGGAGAAAAAGGAGGAAAACAAGAACCTACCCTTCTTTGCTTGTTATTTCTGCCTTCTGTATCAAGTTTTCTCTTAAAGAAGCAATGTCCAAGAACACATCTGCTTTGTTAATGGATCTAGAAAACGAGTTCGGAACTAATACATTGAAAACAGTGCTGGCTAAACTTTTATATTTAGAAGTAAAAAGTAACATGTATGTCAACTGTCAGGTTGGGAAAGCTGACAAACATTTTCAAACACTTTTAGAGATCTAGCCACCAGCTGAGTTCTTAGGAGTTTGGATGCAAATTAATTTATTTGATGGTTTTTACAGCCAGTTAGCCTGACTCCTTGAAGTTTTTCAACAGGCTCTGCTTTGATTAGCAATCTAAGTCTGTTATTTTGTTTTTAAAAATGATGCTGCCCCCCCCCCCCAAGGAACCCTTGTGGAAGTTGCATATCTTCAATAACAAGCCCCATTCCTGTTATTCACACCCCTCCATAGGATCCTGAGGTAACTAATTATTTTTTTCATTTCAGAAATTAGCAACCAAATTGTCAACATTTGCTGTATTTCATTGATGACACAACTGGCAAGAGCTACATGCGTAAATGGATGAATGCAAGCAATAGTTTTCATTTATCATAAAGCCACTGTGCTTACAAGGCTGTGCATCATCCTCTATTGTTCCAGAATCCTGGCCCAATTACTTCCTTCATATTCCCAAAAGAGAATCACCAGAAAGTTGAAGTGCAGCTGTTCTCCCCCCTACTTCCTCACATTTTGCAATTAAATACTAATATACAAATAGCAAAGCAGAGGTTATGGAGAGGAAGTTAGGAATGAAGTTATGAGTTTATTTCTTTTTTGACTTTTTGGACCAGAGAAGGCTGCATTTGTTTGGAAAGGAATGGCACCAGCTGATCATCAAGGGCTTTTGAAGGGCAATCATAGAAGGAATAATGTGTTTGGCAGGAATTCAACAATCAGAAGACATATTTAGAAACTGCAGCCAATCAGCATTGCTGACTTTTCGCTTTTTTTCTCCCCACTGCAGCTTCATCCATCCATATAGGCTGCACATCTTTGATTCAAGTCTTTCTGCTCATTCAGTGAGAAACAAAGTGCTTAATGGAGCTCTGGGAAAAGGAATTGAATAAACTTGCTGCCGGCAAAGTCTATCACCTGGAAAGTGCCAAGACTCAGCAGCTGGAGCAGGCATGTGTTTGTCTGCCTCTGTCTACACAGTGCTCCCACTCTTTGGTTCAGACAAAAACATTTCTTCTCAGTAAGTGAGGAAGTAGCATAACAAGGATTTGAGCTATGGATAAGGGGCTAAATAAGGGCATTGCA